CGCATAGAGGAACGCGGCCGCGTTTCCGATCGCCGTTGAAGGTGAACGGAGGGTTTGGTCGTAAGACCAATTTTGAGGCGAGGTTGATGTCGCCAAAGAGGGCCTCGGAATCGCCCTGAACCGGAGTCGGAGTCGGAATCGACGTCTCCGGGGGTGGTGTTGTTTGGGGACCGCCAGCAGTATTAGCGGCGGCAGCGGCAGCGGAAGCCTGGGTGGTGAGAAGAGTAAGGGCCTCAGTTAGGCGGTCGATTTTCGCCTCGAGTGCATCCAGCCGAGTGTCAGCGTCAGGAGTAGCTCCGGAAGGCATGACAGGTGCGGGGACGACAGGAGTGACAGAGGAGGAGGGGACAAGTGGTAGGGGCGGTGACGAGGGCGGAACGGACTCGTATTCCGAGCCTGAGTCAGCGCCGAACCTAGCAATCTTGTCCGGTTGATCCCGTAGAGAGTTTCTTCTGCTGTAAGGGCAACCCCGGAGGCCTGAGATCAAGGTCCTAGCAGGGGAGGATCCAAAGAGTGAATAGAAGTAAGCAAATACAAGTGAGGCTGACCTAGCAGGGGAGGATCCAAAGAGAAGAAACTCTAAGGGTCCGCCTGCTAGGTGGCGGAACTATATACTGCGCTCTTGACGCGCCAAGGTTGATCGTTGCTCCGTGCAGTATGCCTGCGCCATGTCGCAGGCCAGGTCCCAGGGGGATCGCCAGGCGGGGGCGGCGATGCGCCTGACGGAGGCGGTGATGCGATCGCCGGAGTCGGAACCGGAGTCGGACCGGAATCGGAATCGTCTCCGAGGGGCCGAAAGGGAGGTTCCCCTGACAATAGCATACAATAAAAGGGGAAACAAATGATATGCTTTCTGCCAAAAATATAAAGATGCTGTTTGCATAGACATGAAAACATAAATATAAACATCTTTACATAACAAACATCAAAACAAGGAAACAGGTCTACAAATCTATATCAGAAATATAAACTTTCAATTAACAATTCAGGTTTGAGAGAAATATCCTTTCAAAGCACTCATTTATTCTAATTCAGTGATATTTCTTGTCTGTAGAAAGAGGTATCAAAATGTGTACATGAAATTCAGAGAGTCTATGAATAGGCAAATGCATGCTTTAATGGTGCCCTGGTGACCTGATGAAATAGGTTTCCCTACTTTGAGCTGGCAAGTTGAGTCAGATTGATATTACCTTTAGACAGATGACTTTATTTTATTTCAGTAATACCACATCAGTATTTTTCTAAAAGAAAATTTATTTGTTACACTGATGTTGATAAGCCCTTAATATTAGGGTCCCAAACAGTTTATGCTTTCAGTAACCCTTAACCCTTAAGTAAGCATGAGGCTCAAGGTCTTATTAATGACCAAAAAAAGGAACTTTCCGATAAGCAATTGTGGCAGCAAATCCAGGATATTAACTATTGTACAACTGGAGAGTTGTCAGTCACTCCAGAGTTTACCGTGTTTTTGACTCCCAAAAGTTGATTCAAAAAGGACTAGTTTTCATACAAAAAATATTTTTACAGAAAACAAATAGTTTCCACAAAGGGAAAACTTTATACAAACTGGTTCCCTTTGCAGAAACCATTTGTTTCCTGTGATATAGATTTTTGTGCAAAAAGTAGTACTTTTTAAATCAACTTTTGGGAGTAAAAATCCCGCTAAACTCCGGAGTGAGTCAAATGTCATGATTCACTTTCTAATTTTGACCTGATCAGTAGGGCTGCTCAATTCTTGCCGTTCGCCTAGAAACCACTTTGATGGATGTGACACTAACACCTCCGCATAAGGAAACTGTGTGATCTTGCCCACATCCTGACCTTCCTCTTCGTCCGACAGCGGTGGTATGCCGCAGAAGACACTCCAGCAGCTTGCTGAAGAGCACATACTCGATGCAACAAGCCTTCTGGTGGCTTCCGATCTTCTCCGCCGCTCTTCAATGAACGATGACAGTGATAGCGACATGTCGGTTGATGGAGCTTCCGACACGGAGAGTGACGATGAGTCTGAGCTGCGGGAACAGGTGGAAGAGGAGGCTAGGATGCTGCTTGTGGCTGGGGCAGAGATGCTTGCTGCTGGAGAGGATGCATTCGGGGATGGAAGGCGTGGGCCATACATGCAAGTCAAACGCAGCAAGGACTTCTTTACAACAGCGGTCGAGATGCCGGACAGAGACTTCCGCTATACTTTCAGGTGTGTAATGTCTCAATACTCTATCTTAGCTGATATTCCGTCTAGGATGAGCCGACAAACCTTCACCATCTTCACGAGGCTTCTTAGCCAAAACCCAATCTTTCATTCCACGGGAAAGAAACCGCAACGGCCCGTTAAATGGCAGCTGGCTTGTTTTCTTATGCGCTATGGCCACCTTGGTAGCCCTGTCTTTGATACGATGTTGAAAATGGGAATTGGGAATGGAACAGTTATCATCTACTGTCGGCGTGTTGTCCGAGCGTTGCGTGAATTACGGGGCCGGTTTGCAGCCTGGTTCAATGAAGAGGAGCAGCAAGAGTCAATGGAGGCTATCAAGGACAAAACTGGCTTCACGAAGTGTGTAGGAAGCGGCGACGGCACTCTTATTCAAACCTGCCAGCCCTCGTGGATGGGCCCGGCATATCTGAGTCGGAAAGGCTTCTTTGCAGTAAGCAACAAACTTATTGTTAGCTTATCGATCTCTGATCATACTCAATAGCTCTCTGTCTTCGCAATTGTCAACCACGATGTCTGGTTCGGTGCATGGGATCTTGGATGGCCAGGTAGTGTCACCGATGCACGCGTCTTCAAGAACTCGCATTTCTGGCAACACCGAAACCAGTATTTGCAACACGGGCGACGTATTCTTGTTGACAAGGGTTATCCGTCAACGCCATATACCTGTCGGCCATTTAGCGAAGTTGAACTCGCAAAAGCTATTGACGAGGTGCATCTACGCTGAATGAAAGACTTCAACTACCTTCTTTCAAAACAGCGTATCACAGTTGAACATGCTTTTGGCTGTCTCAAGCTCCGCTTTCGGTCTCTCCAATTTATGGGTCCACACGATGACGTTGAAGACATCTGGCGAGTTGTCGATGCACTGATGATTGCACATAATATGTGCTTATATTATCAGGACCATCCACAGTTATTGGACGGTTACAAGGCACGCTTGAGTGGGGAAAGTTTTGGTGTTGACATTGCGGTGGATGTTGTGCTGCCGCAAGAGGTGGAAAATGGTCTGGTCGAGGAGGTTGTGCTTCCAGAGCATCAGTCGGAAACTCAGCTTCGAGAGGATGGATATGCAATTCGGAATGAGCTTCTTGATACTGTCTGCCCATTACAAAACTATAACTAAGTATGTACAGAGAATTATTAGACTATTATAAAACTTTATGATGGATACGGAGAGAAAACTAATCGTCAAATAATGATGCCTTATACTTTTGGTATGCCTTCACAATGTGCTCCGCATTTTCAATAACCGAGAACGGCAATCCTTCGGGTTTGAGTAGTATTTCCTTTGCCTCCATGTAAGCCTCCTTACGTTGCTTCGTCTTCACATTCATCTCCTTCAGCTCTAGCTGCCACTTATCCAATTCGGCCCTCGACTCAAAGAACTTGCTAAGCCCGTATCGATCTTCCTTTGAGTTAGATGACGGAGCTGCCTTGACGGGCGTTCTTGGTACGTGAAGTTGAAGATTCTTTTGCTTTCGCCTTTTTCTTCGCCTTGATATTGGCATCCGAGTCCGAATCAGATGTTGAGGATACTTCGATGTCAGATATTACAGCTGATGAACGCTCGACCACCCGATTGACCTTGGGGTTATCCTTGTAACTGTTAAACAAAGGTGAGTTTTCTATGTCAGAAAGTAGACAACAACTAACCGATCCGCAAACAGTTGATACCACCCCAGTTTCTTGTCAAACCACAGACTACACGTTACCGCACTGATACCAGTTGAATCACATCCATTTGCTGACCAGTCAGAGAGGAACTCCTTGACCTCGCCTTCCTTGTCCCAATTAACATCATCCGCATCTGCCCCACCACCCGTAAACTTAAGAAGCGCAGACAGCTTCTTGTAGACGGCCAATGAGTTCTTGAATTTCGTCTTCATTTGTTTTGCGCTCCGCTTTGGCAGGATGCCTTTTTTGACAAGCTTAAAAGTCTCTCAGATGTGAGAAAAAACGAGAGTAACTTGTACGAGCCTTGTTCCAGGTCTTGTTTGAGGAGACCTGCAGCTTTCGAAAGAAATCATCGGCATCCGGACCTAGCGCTGCTTGGAAGAGGATTGATGTCTCTTCCTCGCTCCAGCGATTAGACATGGAGCCCTCCTCGGGTTCAGGCTTTGGTTCCTTTTTGGGGACTTTTGCTGGGATTGGCCGTTGCACAGAAGTCGATGAAGGAGGCGGAAGAGCAGGTGCAGGTGAATCTAAGAAGTATAACTCAGCAGATGTCAAGAAAACACAAGAAGAGCCACTCACAGGGAACAAACCCACCCGGAGTACCCGGCATTCTATAGAGCAGTGTACCTGGCGGAAACTTGCCAGGTGGAAATGGCGGGGGAATCAACTCTGGTGTTGCAGACATGTGGGTTGTATTGACACGCTTCGCTGGTGGCGTGTTAATAGGTGTGGGAGACGGTGGCCGCTTGAGAGCTGATGACGGCGGCGCAGGCACGCCAACGACATTGACCTGTCGTTCAGCGAATGGATGCCGAGATGGTGGAACAGGGGCTTGTGCTTCCTCCTGCATTTCAGCAGCTTGCAATAGCAGTGAGAAAGGATCCATGGGCAAAGGAAGGTGATAGACAGGATGGGAGGAGGGTCCGACCCGTTCTGGTGTCTGTAAACAACTACAATTTGCTCGGGATGGGCAAGATCACACAGTTTCCTTATGCGGAGGCGTTAGTGTCACATCCATCAAAGTGGTTTCTAGGCGAACGGCAAGAATTGAGCAGCCCTAGTGATTCATATATGATATCTTGTGACAGATCAATCACGTAATCTACTCCATCTTGTTCTGTCACCGCCATGTGAGTTCCCACTCTGGTGCTTCCTCGTGCATCAATGACCAATGCACAGCTGGGAAGTCCTCAGGAATGCTGTTCTCGCCCTTCGAAGACATTCTGCACACCAACACCGTTCCTAGCGACGCTCAAAGTGAAGAGATGCGGTCCTTTCTCACCCCGCATCGTCAAGCGCTTAACAAGCTCGATGACGAGGTGCAACGCCTCGAGCGCCTTCTGGAGAACGTTAACCAGCAGCGGAAAGAGCTATACACCTGGCTTGCGGCACACGACAAACTGCTCTCGCCGATGCGTCGACTGCCCGATGACGTGGTCCGCGTGGTCTTTGCTCACACGCTTCCCACGACGCGGCATGCGGCGCTTAGCGCGGACGAGGGCCCGTTACTGCTGACAAGCATATGTCGACACTGGCGCGAGCTAGCGCTGAGTACTCCGCGGCTGTGGGCGGCGGTGCACGTCGTCCTGCCACGAGAACCGGATGGCACCAGTGGAGCCACGCTGGCTTCACAGGTGTCAACATGGATCGGGCGCTCCGGCGCAGTCCCGCTTTCAGTCTCAATGGTCCATGTGCGCCGGGGCGGCAGGCTGGGCGGTTCTGCCCTTCCAGGCCCGTCGTTGCTCTCGTCAACACTGCTCCCCGCCGCACACCGATGGGGAAGCATGCAACTGCGCGTGTACTCTCTGGAAGATGGACTGGCGCTATGCAATCTGTCGGTTGAGGATGTGCCAAAACTGTGGAGCTTGGGCCTCAACCTGTCGCGCGTGATGATCGAGAGCGACGTCCCAGCCCCGGGCGCTGAAAGCGGCACTTGGTGGAAGTGTCAAAGTATGCGCATTGCTGCCGCCCCGACATTGCGGCACTTTAACTTTCACGGCCCCCTCCTCGCCCTGCCGCGCACTATTGCCTGGCATGTCCTTGTAGTGCTACACATCCAGCTGTGGGCCGGGCCGGCTGACGAGATCGTCTTCCCCTTCCCGTTCCTGCAAGACTGTGTGTCCCTAGAGGTCCTCGAAGCTTCTGCCAACAGCGGTATCTCCTTCATGGATCCCACTCACACGGTCCTCCTCCCCCGACTGCGGCGGCTCGCGATTTCTGTCTGGCAGCCGAACGGACCGGACGTGCAACACGGGCTGCAACTTCTCCGCCTCCCAACGCTCGAATCGCTCGACCTGACGGGCACATTTCTGGGCCAGCAGCTCCCCGATTTGTTGCAGCCGCTCGCCCATATCACGCAGCTCACTGTACCAGTCAGCCAAATGCTGACGGTCGATCTGGCGCACGCGCTTTCGTTCCTTCCCGCACTCGCGACGCTGCGCATGCAGGGAGAGCCTGCCATGCCAGTGCCCCCAGGCAACTCCGAGTGGGCGAACGGTTCAGATCATGTTGACAGTGGGTTCATGCAGCGCTTCATCCCGGGCACGCCCGGTGACGCGCTCCTCTGCCCCGCCTTAACCACGCTCGAGCTGACGTACGCCTATGCACTCCCTGACGCGCTGATAGTACAACTTATCCGCGCCCGCACACCGCTGCTCTCAGCTTTCCGCGCGTGTATCTTTCGGCGCCAGCAGTTGGATGTACGCGAAGCGCTCGCAGATCTTCTGGAGACGTCAGAATTCACACTGGTACTGGCGTATCGCAATTCCGGAAGGGTTTATTCGCCGCTGGAGGGCACGGAGCGCAGTGGCCAGACACGGGTAAACGAGGACTGGTTGTATGAGCCGGATCCGATGCTTGTGTACAATTCTGTTGCCCAATAAGTTATAATTATGCTGTCAATCAAATAAGTAAGAATATGTTGAGACTAGTACATTGCTACACCAGGTCAATCGGAAGGTTCTCACCAATTACAGAGTTATCCCATAGCCTTATCGGTTCGTCATTTTATATTTGACCCTGCCGATCATGACGCAGTTCCCCTGACACATCATCGCCCTGGTGACGACGCATCACATGTCACACCGCCCTTCCTTTTCTCGTCCCACCGCAGCCGCAGCAGCGACGCGCTCTCATATAACCGCAACAGCACCGCGCCACCTCATAGTAGGGAAGAACAGCGATGTCGTCTGATGACGAGCCCGACAACCCGGTCCCGACGAAGAAGCGCCGTGTGCAGCGCGCTTGCGACTGGTGTCGGCGGAAAAAGCGTGCGTCATGCGGGTCATGTCTCTGCGTCCTTGCTCACTCATCCCAGGCGCTTGTAAATCTCCATTTCTTCTTATCACCCAGTCTGACTATCAATAGGCGATGGGTTGCGGATGTCCGAGAAGAAGTGCACGAACTGCGTGGAGAACGGGCTAGAGTGCACCTTCGCCGGCGCGGAGACAAAGCGCCGAAGCTACGTCGATGTGTTGGAGGCAAGGCTGGAGCTGACGGAGTCGTTATTGCGCAAGGTATGTCCCTTGTCCGCCATCTTCCCTCCGAGGTTAACATCGTTCAGTTGGGCAACCCGAATGCGAGCCCCCCCGTCGCTTGGTCTGCCTCCTCTCCAATAACCACCCATAAAAGCACGTCGATCCCCGCACCACCCCCACCAGGTCCCGGCGTGGAACTTGCGGCACTGACAATTCGTTCGATGAACACCCCCACACCCGCGCCACATGAGGAGGATCTCGCGCATATCGAGCTTACGCAGGACATGGAGGAGCTGTCCATTAGCCATCATCGGGAGCGGTTTCACGGGAAGAGCAGCGGTGCAATGCTAGTGAAGGCAGCTGTGTTGGCGCGCGAGGGGTACGAGGAGAAGGAAATGCCCTGGACGTCGAGGAGGATGCATTATTGGACGTATAATCCGGTGCGTTGCTATTCTTTGCTTGGAACTAGGCTCATGAGGAGGAAGGCAAAGGAGAAGCTTCCGCATGTTGGGCCATTCGTATTCCCCCCGCCCGATCTCCTTCGCGCCCTCATCGACCTCTATTTTACCCACCAAAACGTGTACTTTCCCCTCCTGCACCGGCCCACATTCCTGCGCTCAGTCTTCGACGACAATCTCCACACGACAGATGCGTCCTTTGGCGCTGTCGTTCTCCTCGTCTGTGCAATCGGCGCTCGATACTCCGAGGATGTCCGGGTCTGTCCGCCAGGAGCCGAGCCACTCAGGGTTGGCTGGGAGTTTTTCGACCAATTACCCTTGATCATTGACCACCTCTTCGTTCGGCCCACGCTTTACCATCTCCAGTTCTACTGCGTACGCCCTCCCTCGATGCATGGCAACAGGACTATTAATCACTTTTTAAGCTCGCGACGACCTTCCTTGAGTTCTCCACGCCTGCCTCCTGCTGGACACTGATTGGAATCGGCATCCGCCTTGCGCAGGACGTTGGCGCCCACAGACTTCAGAACTTTGGGCCCGGAGCGAAGCCGACGATCGAGGGCGAGCTGTGGAAGCGCGCGTTTTGGGTGCTCGTGTGTATGGACCGCCAGGTGAGCATGTCATTGGGACGGCCGTGTACGACGCAGTACGAGGAGTGAGTGACTAGCGCGCATGTCGTTGGTGTGACTCATTATCTGGCTAGTTTCGATGCGGAGCTGCCGATTGAGGTGGACGACGAGTTTTGGGAGGGGGAGGGCGAACAGGCGGAAACGGGGACGTTGGCGGAGGGAGATAAAAGCCCCGAATCGCAAATGGGTGGAGAGAAGAAGACAGATACGCCGAGCTCTGTGGTTTCGTCGACATCATCCTCCACGGGGATTGAGCCGGGCTCGGGTAGCTCGCCCGATGGTGCTGGCAACGACCCCGGAAAGAGCAAGGGCAAGGGGAAAAGCAAGCCCGCTCCGTTTACGCAGCCGCCCGGCAAGCCGAGCACGATCACGTTCTTCAACTGTCTGATCAGGCTGAACAACATCCTGGGGTTCAGCCTGCAGCTACTTGTGCGTGTTCCCACAAGCCTTTACGTACATTAATGGAGGATAGTACGGGCTGAGTAAGGCAAAGGCGCTGCTTGCCCATCGCGACGACGCGTGGGAGGAGCACATCGTCGCGGAGCTCGACTCGGCGCTGAACGGATGGGTCGACTCCATTCCCGCTCACCGTGAGCATCCTTCGGCTTAACTAATTCCGCTAACTGTTATCAGTCCGGTGGGACCCCAACCGGCCGCGCACGCCGCAAGACGACGTGTTCTTTGACCAGTCGGCGCTGCTATACTGCTCATACTACACAGTGCAGATGACGATTCACCGGCCGTTTATACCTGCGGTAAGACGGAGTGGAGCACCGACGGTAAGTATCATTTATATTGGTTACTTTTGTTTCTTAACAGTCGATTAGTCACTCCCGTCTCTAGCAATATGCACTAACGCTGCGCGTTCCGCCAGCCACGTTATCGAGACGTCTCGACTGCGGAAAGGAAACACGCCCGTGCCCGTTTTACTGGTTTGGGATTTTTTTTCTTCTAAAATATTAAATGGTCCTGATTGTGTGCTAGGGCCCGGCATTCACGGCGGGTCTTGTTCTCCTGCTGAACGTGTGGAGCGGGAAGCGGACGGGGCTGCCGCCGCAAATGAACAGCGCGATATTTGAGGTACATAAATGCATGAAGGCGATGCGGGTGTGCGAGGGTCGGTGGCAGAGCGCCGGTCTGTTCTGGTGGGTTTCATTCGAGGAGTATTCTGAAAGGTGTGGTCGCTAACGAAGCGCAGGGATTTACTTTATGAGCTCGCGTCAATCGGGCACCTCCCGCTGCCTATTCCGGCGACGCCACAGAATGCGGGTGTTCAGCCCATTCAAGTTACCCAGAATGACGAGAACGACAACGCGGACGTTGCCGAGATGTACCTCCCGCCGACGACGACGTATGGCCCGCCTCCCGCGGGCTATCCATATCCTGACGCAAACAATGTTGCACAACCGCAGCAGTCGCACCCGCGCGTCAATACGCACATCCTCCCAATGCACGTGATGGGCCAGGGCATGGCGGTTTCGAGTTCGGTGCCAGAGCAAGGCGCCCTCCTACCGCCCACGGTTTACATTCCACTCGCGGCACAAGGGCAGAGGCAGGCAGGCTATGCAGCGCCGTTGCCGCGACCCGTGACGGGCAGTGGGAGCGGGAGTCAGCAGCGACTGCTGGGCCAGCCTGTGTACGGTTTCGGCCGCACCATCCCTACATATACGTCTGATCTCGGGCGGCTTCCGGTCTTTCATCATCAGCAGGATCAGCCGGGCCTGTCGCAACAAAGCTACAACCAGTATGGGATGTATGGTGGGTTTGACGGGGTCGTAGCGGGGTCGGGTTCTGCCTCAAACGCAGCCGCGGCACCATCGTTACCTTCGCAGACTACCACTGACTATGTGCCGCAACATGAGTCTGCGGCCGATCCCGGGTTAAGCTTGGGAACAGCGAGCAGCACGAGTAGTTGGTATCCTGCGCAGACGTCTGCCGCGCCATTCGGCTTCCCAGACTTCAAGTTTGCTGCTGCGAGCGGCCCGTCCGCAGCGCCAAGCGGTGCGGCCGGCTTGGGGCTGGGAATGTCGGACAGCGAGATCATGGCGCTCTTTGGTGAAGACGCGCTTGCGTTTGTCGAGGGGCGCTCGCCGGTGCCCCAGGCGGCCAAGGCTGAAGCGGCAAGTGCCAGCGCTAGTGGGAGCGGGAATGTGAATGTGGCAATGCCCGATGTGGATCTAACCAACGAGGACATGGTAATGTGGGCGAGCGCGCCGATGGGGCTAGAGGTGGACGATTGGAGCGAGTACTTTAGTGCATTGAGCGGGTTCCCGCAGACTTCGGCGGGTGGAGGGAACACGTAAGCTTCCCGGATTATCGCCACGAGGTCTATACCTTATGCTATGTATGATATTGCTGTCAGTCCCTCATTTCAATACTCTAATGTCTGGTAACAGTCTGCTGCATTAAATTACTTTATGTGAAATTGTCTACTATCAACATTAATTGTTTATATGATATTGGTTCATAATCTCAACTTCTCAAGGCTTAAGATGCCTGGAGGTGGTAAATTAAGCCCTTAATAATCATATGACTATTGAATAATGTGACAACACATATTAATCACAGTGCAATGGACGCAGTTGAATATTGTTAAATAAAATTGTTTATCATACAAAAACAATATACTGACTGTAAAGTTAAGGTGCTAAAGGAGGGCTGCATATATAATCCCTAAGCCTTAACTAAGCCTTATACAGTACACTCCTCAGACAGGGAGGATGGTTTCAGTAGGTAGAAAACTCTTAGAATAGGGACGGTCACGGTTAGCAGGTAGGTTGGTCGGTTGGTTGGTTCGGCGGGTGCGGCAGCCTGGATCCCATCAAGGAGACGCGACGAGTCACTAGTTTAGTCACACTCTCTCTACATCTTGTACCTTCTTGTGCATGGGCAATAACACCTGGTCCGTTGACGAGACGAACGCGCTCATCGCAGTGATGGCAAAGCCTGAGAACTTCAAGGTTCTCTTTGGGAAGGAGCCGGGCGAGGTATGTCCTATGGTAACTGCAAGAATACGCGTCAATACTGACTGGCACTGGTGCAGAACACTTCGGGCGACTCTAAAAACACTGTCCACAAGCGAATGGCCGAAGAGCTGGGCCTGTCGGGTAGAGAGGGTGCTGGCCGCGTGAAGAGGAAAATTGATGCGTATGTGCTGTTTCCTGGTGCCTTTCTATCGCTGAAACAACCTACTGGAAGCCTTACCACCCAGTTCAAAACGAAAATGCAGCGTCTCAAGAAGACTGGGGAAGGCCTCACTGAAGGTGACGCCGAATGGCATTATATTGAAGCAGACGGGCCTCACCACGACACCCCCGATGATGCACAAAACATCTGGGACGCAATTACCAAGGAGTTTCCCTTCTTTCCGGCACTCTATCGGCTCTGGTCCACACGCCCAAACCTTGTCCCCATTTGCGCCACAACAGCACTTACACCCGCTGGCCGTCACAAAACGACACTCATTCAGATTGATTCTACGCAAAAAACGAAGACTATGGCTGCTCAACTCCCTGTATCCCCTCCTACCATTCAGTGGCCACAATCGACTGAGTCACAGTTGCAACCATCATGGTCTCAAGACCCTGCTCTTCGTGGTTGGGATCCATCACAGCCTCTTCCTTACTCGTTGGAAGACTTCGAATCACCTTCTAGTGATTCGCTTGACTATCCTCCCCCACTTGATTTTGGCGGCAATTCACAGGATGATTCACTGCTTCCACCTCACATGAAGCTTGGGTCAACTGCCTCCCCTTCTATTCGCACACCGGAGCAGATGCTGACTGAAGTTACGAATAAGGCGCTCGGCTCACAAGTGGTTCCAACAACTCCGACACCTTCTTCTTTGACGTCAACTGCTTCTCGTACTGGCCCTCGTCCAAGTACTCTCATTCGACCCCAGAGCTCATTCCAGGCTGTTCCGAAGAAGCGGGGGTTCGAGGACGAAATGATCGAGCTTACGAAGGCGACTATGACTTCATTTAAACAGCAGAACAATGAAGCGCAGGCGCATAAACGCCGAAAACTTGATATGCAGAACCGTTCACTGTTGCTCAAGGAGCGGCGGATGCTCTTAGAAGAATTTCAGGTACGACTCTTCTGATGCTCGGACCAAGTGCTAATATCTATCCAGAAAGGGATTTGGACTATTGCCGAGTATCAGGAGAAGCTTGCGGAGCTCCAAGCTGCTCCTGAAGAATAGGTTTCTGAATTTTACAAATTACTCTATACACCTTTTAATCGTCTACTTCTTGTATATTTTTTGTAACAGATGCAGTTGAATAATTAACTAGCGACCACGAATAGCATTGATTTCGGCGACTAGCCGTTGACGCTTTGCCTCACCCTCTGCCATATCATTCTGCATAGGCATATCATCACCATCATGCTCTTCCAAACCCTGGTTGATAAATGTGTCACTCTCCCCAATCCCTTCCAGCTCCACCACAATATTATGCAGTATAATGGCAATAGTGACCCAACGGCAGGCCTCAACATGATGACGCTTTTTGGCAATACTTGTTCGTAGTCCCTTGAGACATTGCCAGCGACCTTTGATAGCTCCCATGCAATGCTCGGATCGAACTCGGAGAGCGGATAATGTTGCACAGAAAAGGTGATTGACAGCCAGGTCGGCGGCTGGGCTGCGGAACATTGGGATCATATATTCGGAGAGAGCATAGGCAGAGTCCCCAAAGCCATGCTCGTCTCCTTCGAAAAGAAGTTCCGGATGTTTTCGAGCAGTGGTATATTCAAATGCGGAGGAATCATGAGCCGATCCCGTGAATCCATGTGAGTAGTCAATAATTCGAAGATTAGATGGAACATTTCCGATCTATTTATAATATCAGCTAGCTTGATCAATGAAGATAGCAATGACATACCTGTACATTGAGCCCATAGTTACTCTTTCGGGTAAAGTATGCTTGACCGTTTAATGCCGGCTTTTCGCATAATGGCACAATCGTCCCATCGTACATTAGATACCCCTCCCGCCATGAGGAGCGGTACCCAATATGTCGGTCAATCCAACATTTTTCTTGCTCTTTCTCCTCTCTTGAAAGTGCCCGAACAAAGAGAGGATGAAGTCGCTTCGATTGCATCAAAGCAACGACTAGTGAAGAGTGTTACTGAGCCATGTCCAACTCCAGCAAATCGGGCGACATCATCAACAGAACCACCATTCCCATAGCGCCCCATTCGGTAGAGTGTAACAGCAAGCTGCTTATCCACAGGGGTTTGTTCATTCTGTGAGTTGTTCTGGAAGACAGGATCGTTCTCGATCATAGTGACAATTGACGCAAATACGAATGGAGAGATGCGGACAATGTTGACAAAGTTATGGAGGTCTTCAGCACTCTGCGAGAAGGCAGTCAAGAGCTGGAACTGGCTGAACTTGATCACCTCATGGCGGGGCCGGAGGTAGCGTGTGCTCGCAAGCCGATTGAGCATTGATGACGTGTCCAATAAAGCTTGGAGGGTGTGCAACATGGTAGCCAGTAGGTGGCCTGAATCGGTGCTCGATGTAGTACTGCTCGTAGAATCAGAGATTGACACATCCGAGTCAGCCCCAGAATCATCAGACTCAGAATCATTGCCATCATTAGCAGAGGCATTCCGGGCAGTCAAGCAGAGAAGTCTGAGTTGGAACTGATAGAGAATGGCCCGCCGAATAGTCTCCCGATGTGTTGGAATAGGCATTGGAGTGGATGCGGAGAGAAAGAAATGTGATCAGATAACAGACAGATTCCGAATCAAACTATTTTGATCTTAGTCAACACTAGAACAAATGCCGATGCAGAGATGTAGCTACACTATCTACCTACAACAAAGGACAAGGTGGGTATAGTGCGTGACAGCACGGGAGAGATTGCTTTGATGGGATCCAGGCTGCCGCACCCGCCGAACCAACCAACCGACCAACCACCTACCTGCTAACCGTGACCGTCCCTAATAAAAAGTAATATGCTTAATTGATGATTTGTTCAATTACCAAGAGAGATAATTATCACAGATAAGACCCCGCCCATCCTATCCAGTGCTGGTGTCAGGTCATCGAGGGCCTACAACATGCAGCATGTGACAACTGGGAGCTCCCAGAAGGGAGAAATGCACATGTGAGAAGCACATGTGAGAAGCATATGACCAAGAATGATATGTCATGCCTAACGCCAAGCCCAACTTGCGGCATACATCAGGGAAAACCTTCTTTGGTAATAGGGTGGGGGCACGGGTCTCATATGTACCCGGACCCGGACCCTGATGAACCCTGACCCCGCCGGGTCCGGCAACCCACAGGTCCAGCGATTAAACACTTTTATTTTACACAAGACAAATAAAAATCAACACAAGCATATATCTAGTGGCATTGCTTCTTCTGTCCCCTGTCTACATCAGAAGCATCGTCACCAGTGTCTGGGTCATCTTCAGCGTGTGCATTGCTTGTGTTAAGTGCCATGTCGACCAGAGGGATGGAGACGGAGTCAGAGTCAGAGACGGAATCGAAATCGGAGAGCACTTGGGGGCGGAACACCACAGAAGGATGTTTGGGTGACCGGGGCTTCCAATTGACCAAGACAAGACAAAAAGAGAGGAGCGGAGCAGAGTCGAGACGATGCTGGGATATAGAGACCAGCAATGTTAATTTACAAACTGAAGTACATCGTAATACATCAAAGTATTTATAGTACGAGAAGTAATGGAAACAGAATAAGGGATAACAAAGTAAGTAATGAGATTAGAACAAAGTCAAGTAAAGTAGAAGAGGAGTTGCATATGAGGAACAAGGCATAGATGATTGTATAGATTATAAGTCGAGGTAATTGGAAATGCTCAGTAATTCTTCATTGCGTAAAAACCAAATACCGGAGTCGATATCGGGGACAGATGCCGGAGTCGGCACAGATATAACAGCTTGATGACATGCTGATCTGTTGGGGGGTGAGCGAAGTATAACACAAATCAACAACAGTGCATACTGCATCACTGGCTGCCGCGTCGGGCTCCAATAATTCCACGTCTGAGTCGCGGTCCCCAGCGGCTTCACCAGCTTGTTGGTACCATTGGAACTCCTCCTCCACAAGGTTGCGGGCAGTGTCAATCCAAGGCTGTTCCTATTTTCGGTGTGAAGTAGTTGAGCTTATAGCTTGGATAGAGAATTGAGAATCGAATGAGATAGTGCAATACAGATAGGCACAATGCAACCCATGGCAATTCGATAAATGTTCGACACGTCGACACGTTGGTAGCTGAATAGTACTTGTTCATCATTGTTTTCACAAGATGGAGCGCCTTCCGGATGGATGGATGCATAACTGGGACGGGTGCGGCGGGTACTGAACTCTTCAAAGTTTTTGCACTTGTTGTTGCAGTTGTTGCGGTTACTTTAGGTAGGGCAATAGTTGTCGTAATCAAGTCGTCGATCTTATCCATAGTTGAAATGACATTTGCAATGTTGCTTGTTTGGTCTGATGAGAAAACAACAGTTGCATCCTTAAAAACCTTGACAATACAATAGACTGATAGCTGAGACAATTTCGCGTGGCTGCGCACCTTCAATGTATGTGCCATCTCATCCATAATCACCCATTCATCATCTGTAATGTCGTACTTGCGCAAGCTGAGGTTCTGATCTCCTGTTATTGTGTTGATGACTTCTTTGTGTTGGATGGCCATCACCAGCATATCGTAGGTGGAGGTCCACCGTGTCCGTACATCACGTGGGATGAGCTGAGCATGCATGTGATGTTTTTCGCAAGCCTTTTGCCAGGCAGGAAGCGCAATCATTGTAGAGTTAACGATCGCAAATGCCAACTGCCAGAGCTAGCGGCCATATTAGACTTGGAAGTGAGCCAAATACTTTTACGCACCCGAGACAATGCCTCCTTGACATCCTTCGTGGCTGTGAGATAGTCCTTCTGTTCTTCGGACATACGAAGATCGAAATGCATCCTCCTTGGTCTCTCAGTCATTGGGGCCCTTGTCTATTAAATGTTGAATATCGATTAAACACATGGTTGGAAACACACCGTCATCCATGTCAGCCACATCAGGTAATAATTCATCGTCGTCTTCTGAATGGATGTCAGGCACGTCCTCGTCGTCAATATTGTCCTCATCGTTGATATTTGTGGTATCACCAGCCTTTGTCTTTTCTGGTGGCTGAAATGGGCGGAGGAAGGCCTTGGCAGCCAGATTGAGAGTATGATTAAAACATCGGATGCGGTTGACCACATTGAATGTATTGTTGACATTGTTCCCAAGAGCCTCGTTCTGTGTATCATTTGACACTGTGTTGTCGCCGGTCCATGCCAAAATCTATGGTTTTCAGAGTTAGTCTAAGTAGATGCGGCTAGAGTGTTAATACCTTGTGAAAGCTGCAAGAACGTCGCCTGTGTGGGACTGGGATACTTAGAATTCAAGTGATGCCCGGTACAGGATAAACTGACCTGTGGGACTTTGATAATATCAAGCAAGAAAACAAGAGGATGACCTTTGTGCTGAAGGTATCCATGCATCTGTGGCGAAAACTAATACGTCCAGGGTAGTTCTGTTCAATGGGTGAGTTTAAAAAGCAGGAATAGTGCATGATTGCATGCCTCTAGTCAGCGCTCGAATGCGGCATTCAAATCCCACGCAATGGTAAATCGGCTCAGCAAAGTCAAATCGGGGCGACCAGCAGTGAGCAGCTCCTTCAGCTCTCAGTCTTCGATCGTTCTGAAGGGTCTTGATGCTTCGGTCAGCCAACATACAATATGGCAGCTTCAGTAAGTGGTTAATAACCAATTTAGCAATGCACAGTGACACACCGAAACTCGGGCTCTGTAGGTGTGCAGTGAGACACCTTTACTGGCCGTTGGCTTGACCCCAGCCCACCAGCGAAGGAAGCAAAGATGTCGCCATCTCAAGGCCTACTAGTTTTGGTTCCAGCAATGCATTCTTTGAGAAGTATATCGCCCCAGCATCGCTGCACCTGCTTCTCCAGGTTGGAGGTGGAGGACCGGTCAGTAGAGAGCTCGCTGTTGGCCAGCGTCTGATAGCGTTTGATGCCTTTGAAGTCTCCAGGCAAGTCAGCTGACAATGCAGAACTTATCGGGACAATTGGTGTAGCTTGATGTTTGCACCACCACTGAAGAGCATGCTGCTGTTGTCCATGAACAGCTTGAGTTGCTATCAATTAGCTATTGTCACAGAAGCCCCATTCAACTGGCACTTGAACAACAGACTTCATCTCAAACGCCTGTCGAAATATGACTGCTAATGTTAGTCCTTCCTGTATTGACTTGCATCGTGAGTCTTTTACAGCGTACCGATTTCACAATCTCCCTACACTTGTCACAATCAAGCCCAAAGTGGATTTGATTGCCCAAGGAATCCTTCATTGGTTGGCTATGCCAGAGAAGCTTTCACTCCCTGATGCTGTTGCGAAATGTATTTCCCAGTGTCAAGTATTTGGAAACATGGTATAGTTAAATGCCGGAGGACAACACATATTCTGGCACAAGATCGTATGCAGAGGCAAGCACCTGTTACTTCCACCTATCTATTCTAATTGAAAGTGAGTGCCCAGTGTGGTCTCCATTCTAGTTAGAATAGATGATATGGAAAAGCCTATACTACAATAATTCTTAAATAGCTTGCTGCAGCTGCTATAATTGTCCTGGTATCTGTCAGACTGCGGGTCGGGCCGTGCAAGGACCTCTCCTAAGAACGCGCGCCCGGAATAGAACAGACGGATAGTCGGGCCCGCAAGTATGGCAGGCGGGGTAGATCGAAACCGAAAGGGCCCGTGAACTCGGTCCCTTGCCGTGGTCGGTGGTCGAAGGTTCGAATCAGGTCATGTCGGGCCAGATGAGTCGATAACGCCTCCTTGCACGGAGTAAGGTAGTTCTTCAGACGATCTAAGCGATAGAGTACAGGGTACGCTATCGCGCCTTATATACGCGGGCCCGCAAAGGGGGTGATCGGACACCCTGGCCTCTCCTCCTCCTCGTCCCTCCCGTTCCTGGCCACAGAGGGGACGATCGTACATCCCTTGCGGGCCAGGCGCTACTCCTAACCTCCTAGCACTCCTCCCCAGTCCCCTTGTGTCGAGTTGGGCTCGGCGACGGCTCGACATGTTGTTCTCGGTCACGTGCTTCCCACGTGTGCATTCCTCCTACTGGGGTGCATGTTCCCTGTCGTCACGTGCTGCGTGCTACGGGCCCGTGATGGCCCGACACCAGCGCCGGAGCGGACGGGCCGGGTCTTATCCGTGACAGTATCTGGGTCCAAGTCCAAGTGTGATAAAATCGTGCATTTGTCACGTTTGTCACTCTGTGTGACATAAGTTGACATAAGTGACATCCACCCCCCAAAAGGAAAATTTCCAGGCAAGTAGCTAAAGAGTGACTGGTAGTCACATATGTCATGAAATGAAACTATTGTAATACAAAGTGATAGCTATAATAAATGGCCAAAACAAGGAAATTTTACCCTGTGATAATATAATT